TTCTCTGAAAATTTACATTATTGAAATTTACATTTACGTTGCGAAAATGTACATTATTAAATAAATATTAAACACACTACCTTTGTGTACATTATTCTTCACTTCACGAACAAAAAATTTTTTGATACTCTGAAAATTTACATTATCAAAATACCCAGGGTTAGAAAAACATTCTTTGGCACTAAAAATTAGTATCAAACTCAGGAAGTATAACATTTTTCACGAGATTTTATTACAATGAACTGTAATGAACCATAAGAGTAAAAAAAAAATTATAAACACTGTAAAATGTTCAAATAAAGATATTGTTAAAATTACTATCTACAATGTAAATGTTCAAATAAAAATATTAATTACTGTCAACAATATAATCAAACAATGCAATATTTGCAAAATTTAAGTTTTTTCATTGTAAATAACGTTTGTTTGAAAAAGTCATTGTAGGAAAGAAAATCGATCTAAAACTTAACCCATTGTTTTACAAAATTTCAATGTAAGATAATCTCTAAATGTAGGAATGCTAAGATGACAAATAAAAAAATGTAGAAATGTTAGGCTGATTTTATCGCTTTTTAAATTATCATTTTGAAATAACATTCGGTTTTAAATTGTCCGTTTTAACTTTTTCATCAGAATGTTATTATCCCTTTGACTCAGACGAGACACCGGAGTACCTTTTATACATATTTTTATCTGACGCTCTATTTATAGGCAAATATATATTTTTGGTATTTCTTAATTATAGAAAACAGTCTAATAGTTACTAAAAAATTATGTTAGATCAGTGGAGTTATATTGGTACTAAAATAAGAAATTTAAAAAAACTAGTTATAAATTTTTCTTCATTCACATTCGAAAAATAATCAGCAATTGATTTTGCAAATTACATAAATTTCAAAGATGAATAATTGTTCTTTTTAAACCTAAATAACAGCAAATTTGAAAAAAATTTTCTTGGAAGTGAGCCCTGTTTGCAAGATTTTACCTTTACCGCTGAAAAAGTCACCGGTTTCATTCTGTATTTCAATAATCATAAATTATTAAAATGCTGAATAGAATATTTTTCACTTATTTTGACCTAAATTAATACAAAATAAGGAAAAATATATGTTCAATAAAAATTCTGCGTCAAAGGTTTATAAAAAACCATTTTGTTGAGTAACTAAAATTTTTTGCAAAATTAAGTAGGCAAAATCTGAGAAATATTGAAATGTTTAGCCTTTTTTAATATTTCATTGAGTCATTTATAACTGATTACTTGTAGAAAAAATAAATTAAACATATTTTAAATATGTAAAGAATAAATTTAAAGTATAAGAAGTGTCTTTTTACAATTAAAAATGTACTCATAGTCAAAGAATATATTATGTACCACTCGTCTATTTTTCGGAAAAATCATAAATATTTTGATTGCTTACAACCAATGCTAATAAATTAAAAGGTACAGTACTAAAACTTCCATTAGTTATAGTTTTCAAATAAAGTTAAACTTAAAACCAAAACATTTTGGATTTTTTTTTTTTAATTACAAAGTTAGTAGGATTGTTTGTTTATTTATTTTTCACTTTTTTCCTACTATTTACGTCTAAAAAAAGTCGACTGACTTAAAAACTACTAATTATAAAACTGACGGTATACACTATTGTCCGCTATCGGATTTGCAGAGAATTCTCAGAGATGGTTTTAGACTTTAATTTGCAGCCTAAATATATTGAAAACAGGTTTCAATTTAATTTAAATCCGAAAAAATTAATATGAAATTAAAAAAAAAAGAAAAAAAAGTTTGCATTATAATTATTTATAACACTAATCAACTTGACTGCTGTGAAACAAAAAGAAACAAAAAAATCTTTGAACCAAAGCGAATGAAAAATTTTAAACACAGAGGACTACAGAAAATATTTATACTAAAAAACTTGGGTTTCCCCCTCAAGATGCTTTTAGAAATAAAATTCAAAAGCGAAAATGCTCTTAAAATATTTCCCTTGAACTGCCTGTTCTTTTGTAAATAGAATATTAATGTTAATAACAAAAAAATTTAGAACACATGAAATATCTGCTGTTTTTTTTTTTTTTTTTCTAGCTCTTTCACTACCAGTATTAAAAGATATTAGACTTCCTACAAAACAATAATTCTCTAGAATTTCTTCTTACTTTAATATCTAAAAAAAATATTTTAAATCAGAATCTGAATAAAACAGTTAAAACTTTAAAAATATAAGAACATAACGAAATAAAATTCTATTAATTATTTTTTTGTGTGACTTTTTCCAAAAAGGGCCAGTAATATAAATTGCTGCAAGGATGATGCATAGTAGCATTTTGCGGCACATTGATCAAATACTTCATCCATTTGTACATGTAGAATGTCTACAAGTAATTTTTAAAATAATAATTGTCCATAATTTTTTCTTACCTGCTTGTTTAAGTAGATTTTTTAAATCCAAATTAAAATCAAAATTATAACTACATAACCAAAGAAAATATTTTGACCATCCTTTCTATGACTTTTCAAAAAAAAATAATTTATAAATAAATAAAGTAATTTAAATTTATTAAAAATTTGTTTTTCCTTAAAATTAATTTATTTAATTTAACCAATTTTTATTTGGTTAAAATTAATTTATTTGAAGCACATTGCTAAAAAGATAAAGTTCTTCATTCATTTGTAGTCTATATGTAGAATATTTACTAGTAATTATTAATCACTAAGGCAAATGCAATCTTAATACAAGCACTGACAATCTCAACAACAAAAAAAGAAACCCAACTAAACAGGTATTTAGATTTAAAAAAATTAGATTTGCATGATTAAAAAATTATTTATCATCCGCACTTCATTTTTTAAAACTAAAAACTAATTTTAGGTAGAGTTCAATATTATTATATTCAATGTATTACAATTAATATTACTTCTAGCAAATTTACTTGAATGGAGTTTGTAATTGTTGACTTGAATCGAATTTTTGAATGGACACAGAAAAAAAATTTACAAATGTATTTGAAATTTACAGAAATTTTCAAATTTACTTGAAGGCAATTTTTAAACACATTATCTCAGTCAGACAAAGAAAAGAGTACAACCAATAATCAGAATAAAGTTTATTATAGCATAATACAAAGTTAATACACTTGTACATGGACGGAAATTTTCTGTGGATGGAATGTCAATAACACAGTAAGAGAGATTCATACAAGATTTAGGTCCTGCCTAAAATAAAAGTGATTGAGTAATAGACACCGCTGATATTTCAAGGCGTAATAAAGAGCCTATATCCAGCAGGATCTATATATATTCAATTCAATAAAATTCAAAAAATAAAATACTTATATTTTGGGCAAGACCTCAGAATTATATAAATATTATTTACAGTTTTTGATGAAAATATATACATTATTTATAAATAATGACAGATTCACACCATATATGAAACTTTAAAATGTAATTGAATATAATTGATAACAATAAAAGTATAAATAAAAACAAATGTTATGTGAGACGCATTAAACCTATTTGCAAACTGTATATTATAATATTTAATCATTTAAGACAAACAACAATTAAGAAAATTTTTACATTTATACAAATTTTGTAAAATGCAAAGTTAAAATGCTTATTTTAATTTATATCAAAATTCTTATGATGCATATGGAAATTTTTTTTGTCAGTAATTTTGAAATGAAATGAAACATTAATTAAAAATGTAACTCAATATTATAATTCAGGAGAAAATGAAATATAATCTTAACAATATGTTGTAAATGAAAATGGAATGTTTTAATTGCATTTAGAGCTCACACAAAAAAAAATCAATCTGAGAACAAAACTATTAGTTTTAATAAATACAAATATTTCATTTAAGTTGTAATTAAATTCTCAAGAAAAAACTGAATGAATACTACTGTCTATTGAACATTGTAAATAAGTGGAATGTTTCAGTGCGATTCAAAGCTTAAAAACTACTTTGAATTATATAACACAGATTATTACAGAAGCAGTAAAAGGTAATAATGTAAATAATTTTAAAAATACCTAGTTCTAACAGCAAAATAAATGTTTAACTATTTCAAAAAATTGTATTTAGACTTATTAGGGAAAACATAAACCTATATAATATTGTTATAAAGAAATTTTTAACCACTGTAAAGCTAAATAAATACAATAGACTGCCTATTACTGTCTACACAAAAAATACTGTCTATTAAACACTGTAAATAAGTGGAATGTTTTAGTGTAATTTTTAACTTAAAAACCTCGTTTTTAAATTATAAGAAACAGATTATTACTGAAGCAGTAAAAGACAATAACAAAGTCAATTTTAAAAATACTTAATTCTAGCAACCAAATAAAAATAAATGTTTCAAAATATTGTATTCAAACTTATTAGGGAAAACATAAACCTATATATTATTGCTGCAAACTTTTTAACAGCAACTAAAATATATTGCTAAATAATTCGAAACTTCTTATTCAGAAAAAAATCATATCAAAAATAGAACAATAAATGTCAATAAATTTTCATTCGAGAAAGATTTTTAAAAAATCAATAACATAACCTATGTAAATGAATCTGAACCAGTCATTTTAGAAGCAGCATATGACAGAAAGCCATCTTTATAATGCATTATCAAAATAATCAAATAAGTTAAATTCTAAAAATTGCACAAGACGACAAAAACCTAATGTAAACATAAACTGTTATGTCAAAAATATCAATACTTCCACATCAAAAGTAAATGGAATAGTTTTATGGGATTAACTTAAAACAAAGCAAACTTAAATATATGTATGCATAAAATTTCAGTTTATACAAAAAGAAATTTTACTAGTCAATCTTAAAAACACCTGGCAACAATTTATAAATTTCCTAATAATTACATTAGTTATTTGTACAAAATTGAAAATTTATACACAAAAATTTAAAACTTAAAGCATTTTATTTTAAGAAGCATAATTCGATTTTTTACATTTTATTTTATCACATAATAAATAGAAATAGATTCATGGTGTAAATATAGCTAACAAAAAGAAATTTTTCTCACAAAAATAACAAAACGTTTAAAGTGTGAAAAAAATAAAACTTAATGTACTTTAAAAAAGAAAGAATACAAAAACTTTCTGCATCAATTAATGTGTAAATTCAGATCACTAAAAAACCACAGTTGTGTCACTAGCTGAAGCCATATCATACAAAAACCTCAACCATACCATAGAAATATATATGAAAAAAGAAAATTTTAAAAACACTTGAGCAATTAAGTAAATAAATCAGGAATGTTTAACTTGAATGGGATGAATGTTAAACCAAAACCCAAACAAAAATATTTTGATTAAATATCACACATATAAAACAACCAACACCTTATAAAGAGCAAGTTTGATTAATAGCTCGAATAACAAAATTTGATTTAATAAAACCATTTTTAAAGCATTAATTTCTTAGTTGGCATATTTGATTTAGTCAATTTTTTTTAAATCATGATTTTAAATCATATGGTTTTATTTTTTAAATCATTGATTTGAGTCATAAATATTTTCTATACACTTTAATTTATAAATCAGTTTAATAACACAGTTTAATTTATATATATATTCTTAAGCTTGTGATGCCTTTAAAAGTCTGATTGAATATTGAAATTGAAAGTTTCTAGAATTGAAATAATCTACAGTTCGAATCTAATATTGGATCTAATATGATAATAAAGATGTAATATTGAAAGTTTTGACCAAAGAAATAATGAGAGGGAAATGAATGGAAACTATTATTTGATGTTTTGATGTTCAAAATAGACTAAAATATTTAAAGAAGCACTAAAAGTTACAGGAAACTTTTAAATAAAACTTTTTTAATATATGTAAGCTATATGTTAAATAATTTGCTATTTTTTAAACATATTTCAATTATATATTTTTAATTTTATGTTTATTTAAAATACAAGTACATTTCAACATTTTGGAATTTTAGTTCGCAGATATAAATAGTGAAGAAAGAGTAATAAGATAATTTTTTGATAATTAATGGGCAATGGATAATGAACGGACAAATTGGATCTTTGTCCTTACAAATCTATGAGGCTTGAATAATAAGAACTATGATTTAATTTATTTCGTGATTAGTCAGTAATCATTATGAAACAATTTTAATCAATTTAGATCGAAATATTAAGTACTTAAGTTAAAATATTGTTATGATACAATATTAAGCATCGTTAATGCATTTTGTCATAGCTTTAATAAGTAACCATAGAAAAATAGAAAATTATCTTATTTAAATAAAAAAATAATGATTTTTTTTTTAAATTTTACTATTGGCAAAACTTCTGGATTTTAAAAAGAAATCATAATTTTTACCAACCTTGTTAGTAGTAAAATAAAAGCAGTTAACATTGTTTTAAAATAATTATAAATAGATGTATTTAAGCATAAACTGAAGCTGTGTAGTCAGCAGAATCAACTATGACTCCAGATTTATCCGAATGCTTAACTCCTACACTTATGCTCAATAAATATTTTTATTGAATCTTTGGAAAGTATAGTATTTGTTACTAAGTATAAATATTCATTTTAAACTATGCATTTTAATTTTTATACTATTATTAAATTACATTTAATACATAATTAGTTTTATGATAAATTAATTAATTTTAATACACAGGGATTACATCAGATAATAAATTACACTTTTTAATTTGTTAAATTAATTAAAGTAATAAATAGTTTGGCGATAAGTTAATGGTCGTAAAATTCATTCAATATGTGTTCACATAATAATAAAAAAAAATTGAAATAATTTTCATTATATGAAAGACTTGTTTTTACCTAATGTTTACCAAAAACTGCAAGACCTAATTTGCAACTAACCAAAACTGCAGAGAGGAATTTTTTTCGAATACTAATTCATAACCCTTCAATAAACACAGGTAATTAGAAGATAATAATATAAGATGATTCCAACGAAAGTCAGTATTAAAAAAGCATAATCAGTATAAAAGTACATGCATAATTTGTAAAATAAAATGTATATAACACCGGCCATAAAAATAAAAACATTTAACGGAAAAGAAATAGCAACAAAACAATGATAGGTAACAAGTATGGAGTTTACATGAATAGGAATTACATTAACAATGATACGGAATGTATGAATAACACTTTCTAATATAATTTCTTAAGTAACAAAATTTTCAAATTGGGTAATTACTCTAAGATTACTCCCTTTTGTTAAAAAATAAAAATATTTTGAAAGACTAACTCACAACAATTTACTTAATTGAACCAAGCATTTTGCATTAAAGTTAGTTTGCATTGAAATTTCTCCTCAAAAGACAATTTTCCCTTTGAATAACAAGGAGGAAAACTACTTTTATGACAGAAAAAAACAGGTAACTCTTTATGGACTTAAATGCTCAGTCAGTTAAATGTAAATGACATCTAAAATTAAACAGCAAACATTGATTAAATTATTCTTTTAATGATAGCAATAAACAAAGATGCCAACTTAACCTTTTTAACACTCTTTGTTTGATACCTGTAAATAATTTTTCAAAAAATAACGTATTTCAAAATAGACAAATTTCAACAGAATTATGGTTGATTTCCAATAACTATTTATACTCATGATAACTATTAAATTTTTAAAAAAATCCTAGATTTATAATTGAATGCATTAATTAAACAGCTGAAAAAAATAAGAAAGAGTTAATAAAGTTTACGTAAATTGTTTTTATTAACAAAACCTAGTATTTGTATTTATTGGCATCTCCGTTTATTAAATAGTTTGAAAGTAGAAGAATGTATTATTATTTTTTTATGACTTCTTCAATTGTCTATTCACAAAATGATCATGACAGTAAAGATTTATAAATGGAAATAAAAACTATGAATAGAAGTAAAACCATAATCAGAGGAAAACGGCCAATGAAACTAATGTTTTCATACTTAGAAGAACAGCAATAGCTATTAATGCATATGATCTGGAATTCACTAATGAAAAGGAACCTGACAAGCCACAAGCTGGTGGGCATTCAATTGAATAAGATTCTGAAATGGAGAAAAAAAAACTTAATTAGATTAATTATAAAATGCACTAAATACTACAAATCAATTAATTAACAATAATTCAATGAATTAATAATTCAGAATAGTTGCATGAATTTTTCCTAATTCAAAACATTGATTAAAAGGAAACTGTTGTTCTTGTACATTTCCGTTACATACATTATCATTAAGGAACTTAAAAATTATTTTTTCCTCTTTTTACACTTTAGTGAGCACTTTATTAATACCTCTCAAAATATCATGTTTATATTCAATTTCATTCCAAGTGTCAGGCAGCATGCCTAGAGTATCTGAACTGATAACTTTCACAATCCTGAAGCTAAGATTAGAACATCATACAGCAAGGGTGGAGGAGATTAAGAATATATACTCATTGGTCCAAAGGACCAGTAGCCGAAAGATTTCGCTTGTCTGCACAGATTTTCACTAGCTCTTTCACACATCCCAATTAAAAAAAATTTACTTACATGTTTATAACGCTTACAAATTTCTAAAACAAAATAGTTTTTTTCAAAAACAATATTTAAGTTTTAGAAAATTAATTAAAAATATAAATTAAGTTTCATAAAAATTGAAATTTTATGATATAACATAATAAGCAATAAACATAACTAATAAACAGGTTTATTGTTACATATTTATAAGTAGAGCACTATATTGAAATTTTAAAAAAAATGAAATAAAAAAATTACGACAATACATAATATTCAAAATATTGAGGAGAAAACACAGGCCAAAGATTTTGTGACAAAAATGCAGATAAAAAAAAATCAGAGTTTAGTGGTCTTGGAAGAACGAACCATCTTTAATTTTGAGCGCTGTATACAAACAATAAAAATAATTTTAAATTGCTCCTTATGATGATACAACAGACCACAAGTTAGGATAATCAATTCCATTATGTAGGTGCACAGTCTTTTTTTGGGAGGGAGAGGGGGGTAAAAAGCAGGAGAAAGAGATTTTAGCTTTTGGAAGTCCACAATAAAAACGTTTTTAGTAAATATTACATTTTACGAACTATAAAAAACATAAATATATGAGAAATAAAGCTAAGTAAATTACAATGAATTCTATAAAGAGAAAGAGAGAGTGATTAATTTTAAATTAAAAAATAAGATAATTTTAAAGATAATTAATTTTTAATTATTAAAATTAGTTATTTTAAAAATATGATGATTGAAATTTACCTTCAAGGGTAATAAACTGTTTGTCTTGACCTAACTTGTTTATTGCTTTACATGTATAAACACCATAATCATCTTCTTCAATAGCAGCCACTCTAAGTTTCGTTTCAAGAAAACCAGATTCAGAACTAAATGTTGTAATAAAATGCTCTCTTTGGTTATCAAATATTTGGAGCTGCTCTTTAAGCCATAAAATAGATGGTTCCGGGTATGCTTCGACTTGGCAATACAAATCCATGTCATATCCTAATGCTTGGCGGTAAACTTTTCTAGGAACAGACACTACAGGTGCAACTGAAAATGATAAATTTATAAGGATTTGTTGATGATATTTGTAATCATATCTAATATAAAGTTCCACCCATTCCCTTATTTTTATAACTTTTTTATCCTATTTAAGTAAACAGTTTCTTTTTTTAAAAAAAAAAGAAAATAGACATAAAAAAAATTTAGATAACAAATTTAAACTTATTGTTATTTAACGTTAATGATTCTAATGTTTAAGAAAAAACAGCCACTTCTATTTCTATTTCAAATTATGTTAAAAATTCTAAAATGAAAAGTGACAGCAGAAAACTTGCAATGCAGAAGCCAAATGCAAGCTTTGGATAATCAATGTGCATCCCTTTTCTTTATTAATGGGAAAAAAACTACATAACTTGAATGAGAAAATTTATTAATGTTTTTCATAAACTCCATTAAATTTTGAAAAAATACCGAAGTCATAACATTAGCATTCCAGATGGAAAAAGCTCTCATTCAAGACGTCAAAAGATTTCAATGTTTTGGCAGTTTTTATTTTTCCTCTAAGGAAAATCTTCTGTAACCAAAACACATTGAAAAATGTGGTACACAAATTTATTCTAAAATTTGATGTGACAATAATGAAAAATAAAGTAATTGTTAAACAATAAGTAAAAAATAATTGATTTAATTTTTCTATAGAGAAAAAAGAGAAAGTTAAAAATCTAATATAGTTTAATTTTATTAAAGACGTCAAAATGTGCGAAACTGAAAATGTTTTTTTATTCAAGAATCTTATGCAGACACTTTTTTTTTTTTAAATTTTTAATCCAAATCGGAACTATAGAATGATTAAAGAGTCTTTTCATAAAATAGTTTGATTTCACTTAATTCTATTCATTTAAAATGGATAGTGAATTACCTGCTATGCAATTAAGTGAAAAGTGGCAGTGGTGTGGTGAATTTTCTTGCACTATTTTTTTTCACTTGCATGAAGTTAAAGTACAACTATTTTTGCATTTAAAGCATTACTCATAGCTATCTGTTTAAATAACTAATTTAAAACTTACAAAAACAAATTTATTTACACTTTAAGAATGAATCTATTTTATTTAATGTACATTTGCAAAGTAATTTTAAACATTTTTATGGTATATTTTTAGGTATTTTTCAATGTACCTTTTTTAAAGTACATTTCTATAAAATTTTTGTAAAAGCTGTTAACTTCATAAGCACTCGTAAATCATAAAACAATATTAATGACAAAAAAAATAGGATTAGAAAAAAATTGCAGCATGATAATGTATAGTAACTTTTAACATCAAAAGTTTCAAACTTACATTCCACCTCAACACCAACATGACGTCGAGCACCTTTCCCAACACCATTATCAGCCACACAATAATAAGTCCCTCTGTCATGTTTACTAATATTGTGGATAGCAAGAATATTTCCCCGATAGACAGCTCCTCCTGTGGGTAAGATATCATTGTTTTCACGTCTCCAAGATACCTTTGGTTCTGGATATCCTGTAGCATAACAGTGTAAGAAAACTGCTGCTCCTGATGTTGTTTGAACTGTTTGTGTGCTGTTGTCCAGAATCGCTGGAGGAACTAAAAGCAAATCATAATTTTAACATGTAACCAAGCATTGTAAAAAAAAACTTATATTGTAGGTATTTTATAGCAACAGAGTTGGCAAAAATCATGATTTTTTAAATAAAATTGGAATTTTTATTTTTATTTTAGTTGGGTTATTTCTATTCAAATTGAATTATTTTTTTCTTACTTTTTTCCCATTCTTTTAGCAAAGCAAAAGTTAAGCACTTTTATGAACCTTTTTCTGAAAAAATTAAGGACTTTAAAAATATTCGCGTATGATTCGCGATTTTAGTTTCTAAATAATAAATTTTATATAAACTTAAAGTTTTTTGTCAAAAGCTTTGTTTAAAAATTTTTGTCAAAAAGCTTTGTTTACAAAATTAAATTATATAAAATTACGAGGCTTTATGCCCTACTTTTTGTTCATTTTAATTTTTGAAGTAATATGAGTCTTAAAACAATGGAATGTAAAGTTTAAATGGGCCTTTCATGTTATATCATTAAATTTAGTAAAACTATTTCTTAGTCATTAGGTTTTAACTCTTATATAAATATACATATTTTTTTCTGTTTATTTACAAATATTTTTCCCATGTGTTTTGGATGTTCCTTCTCTAAAAAAAAAGAGATACCATTTTGTTTTCGTTTGCATAAGAAAGAATAACAAAAATTTTTCTATTTTAAATTTAATAAGTAATAATAAAGAAGGTACGTTACAATGCTTCACACTACATTAAGGACGTCTCCAACTGAATGACTGTTCACATAGAAATTGCAGGTATTCGTCTGATACAACAACGCTCCCTATAGTTTGTTGCAATCGCAAATTGCTTATCGAATATACATATGACACCAGTGACAGTGCCAATTATTTACCTTTCTAAAAAAATCAATAAATAAAAGAAATAATAAAAAAACAATTATAATGTTAGCACTGATATAATTATATTATTAAACAGGAGCCGCCATAGAAATATCAGGTAAGTTTTGCAAACCCGGGTCAGGTTTTTTAAAAAACGTTTTCATATTGTTAAAAGTTAACGTCATTCAGAATGTGAAAATTAGAGTATGAAACTAATCGGTATTCCATTTTTAATGATTTCAGAGAAATTGAATTATAAAATTAAATGCATAAATTAAGATTTGCAATTATTATATTAAAAAAAGAGTAAATTATTGTAAAAAAAAAAATAAATTATATTAAAAAAAAGATTAAATAAAGAAATTTGGTAAAAACAACAAGTTTTTATATTTTGCTACTAGATCAGTAAATGTGTTATATTTACTTTTATAATGAACTTTAACAAAATTATTTTCAGCTAAACCTGTTATTAGGAATTAACTTAACATAATGTTTCCAATTATTCTCGCAAAACACATGAACTAATTTTAAAGCAACCAAAAATTGAAAAAAATCAAAAACAGTGAAGTAGGGATGTTGACTGAATAAAAGGAGTATTAAAATCTAAGGAGCTTTTAGTTGAAGAAATTTAAATTTGTACGTAACAATCTGCTTATCCTTAAGAAATAAAAATAATAGTGTAACAATCTAAAACTTTAAAATAATTTTACAATGCAAGAAAACAAATAGTTACCAAATATTTAACTTTCATGTTAGAAGCAAATCATGCTTTCTTATTTAGTAATCAGGGAAAAAAATGTAAAATATTTTTGAAAAAAAAAAACTTGGTTTCCATCAAAAACCAAATAAAACCCAAGTTTTTGATGAAAAAATAATTTATATCAATAAAAAATATTATAACTAAAATAATTTTTGTTTTCTACTAAAACGATACAAATTATTATTTAATAACTGCGAACCAACTGCCGAATAAATAAAATCATAGTTTCTTTTTTATTCAATATCTACACCCTCATGAATCATAATAAAATATCATTTTTTATATGCACTAACCACACATTTAATTAACTTTAAAAATACTTGTATTTACAGAAATTTAAAATTAAATTAGTATAATTGAAGCATATACATTAATAGCAAATTATTTGACATGTATCAAATAACAAATTATAATTTAAAATTTTTCACACAACTTTTATTCACATTTAGTTTATTATCTTACTTTTTATACATCAAATAATAATTTACATGCAAGTTCCTTTCATAATTTCTCTAGACCAAACCTTCATTATCAATGAAATCTAACTTTGAAAAATAATAATAATAATAATTTTAAGAATATAATGACAAATTATAGTTTAAAAATATTTTATACTAAAATCATTAATGAAAAAAATTTACAAAATAAATAAATAAAATTTAAGTTTAAATTGCAATTTCACTTAAATTGTAAGAATAAAACTGATAAGAGGTAAAAACAATTAATGGAACAGCTTTAAAAATGATATAAAAAGTTTATTCTTACTTCTAATATAGACCCAAGAATCTTCAGTTAACTTGCTAGATGACGCAATTACTACTTGGCATTGATACAATCCTGTATCCACTTTTTGAACTTTTGTAATCTAAACATAAATAGTTTAGTTTTAAAATTACTTCAATAACTTTAGATTTAACTAATAGACAGAGTTATAGATTAAAGATACAATTATTACAAGATAAATTAATATGAATGGAAACAGTAGATCTAATTTTATAGATTAAATCAGAGACCGTTAAACTTTTTTCATCATCGCCCCCCCCCCAAAAAAATTTCTCTTATCAACACCTCTATAATAAAAACTACCCGTTTTTTTAAATTATTTATTTTGACAAAAGCAAATTTTTACATTACTCAATGAGAAAGATGATATTTGACTAGATTAGCCCAGCTTGGCTTGAAATTAGATCATTTCAATTTTAAATGGCCCTAGAGCTCCATATTCAAATTATTTCTCTGCTTAGTAAATTTATTTTTAAAAATACCTGAGTAGCAATAGCTGTAGGTTACTAGATGGCTGAAAGGATCAATGAAAATAATAGATTTAATTTTATTGATTAGATTATAAAATGCATTAAAGAGTAGCTTTAGGTGAATGAAAAAGATTAATGTATTGCCGAGAAAATAACTTGTTATTTAATAGATACATAATTTATTCATCACGAGCAATTGTAATTTCAATGTTAAAACCTAACATAAATTTGAATAATAGTTGATATTAAATATTTTTTTTGTATATATAATAGAAATTATTTAATATTATTTTAAAAAAAGACCTGATTTAGTTGATAAAGTAAAAACTTAATTTGCTTCAAAAATTATAAGGGAGGGGGAAGTAAATATGTTTCAAACACACAATATTACGTATCTTATCATGAACTTGTAAGACGTGATTCATTCACATCTAGTAACTTTTGAAAAAGGGCATTTGAAACATTTTTCCACCTTTATAATCCTAGAAATAAATTTTTTACATTATCAAGAATATCAGTTTCTTAGGATTATTTATCTCAATAATCCTGATTATTAAGACTAAAGTGTACTATCAAACAAAATCTAAGTATAAAGCAAATATCAAACAAAAGTAAGAAAATGCTTTTATTTTCCTTTTATAGTCTAAAAGCAATTATCATATCATAGCTCAATGAACAAATTCCCTTAAACAGTTTAGTTATTCACCTGCAAGGTATATGTGCTACTTGCTTCATCATGACGAATTGAATATCTTTGATCAGGAATGATTTGAGTACTACCACTAGATATTATAGAATTGGCACCAGTTTTGTTATCAACTTTGACCCAAAGAACCTATTAAAAGAAATAAACATAGTGAAATATTAATAACATTTCATTTTTAGTAATTGTTTAATACGTTACATATAATAGTACATTGTTTGTCACAAAATTTTAATTTATCATAAAAAATAATTTTATTCTTTTTTAAAATGTATTTTAGTTTAAATTTTGGAGGGTAAAAAAATAGTTATTTTTAGTTAAAAGTGATAAAATCTTCAACAAAATTAAACTTTTTTTAAGAAAACATTTCAAAAATATTACTTTTCAAATACTTTTCTTGAAGTAAATAAAAACCTAAAATATAGCTTCAGATACTATTAAAAAAATTATAACATAGACAACTCATGAATGAAATAAATTATGACGAATATAAAATTGAGAGTTATTTAAAAATATATTTACTGGATATCCAGAGGCCCACTGTACAGAACAATGAAGGTCAATTGTGTCCCCAACATTTGCATATTGCTCTTTTGTGATGTAAGATATAGATGGATTTTGTTGTCCAAGAGCTAAAAAATAAAGAGAAAATTATATAGTTAAACATCTAAATTGAGTGGGGTTATTCAAACATTATGCAAGCACATTATTAGTGCTTTGAACTTTTTCATCTCCTTTCAGAAGAAAAATAAACAACTCGCAAGCCTGTCTCATGCTTAAAAGTGACATCAACTTTTGAGTAGGACAATTAGGAAAAATTTATATCATAACTATTTTGATTTTGATAATTTTTATATTAAGACCACGCTTTTAAGTATACAAATTAACATCCAACAATAAAAATACTTTAAAAATAAATATTTAGCAACAGTTTAAAATTGTTAAAACATTGAAAAATTTTATTACTATCCTCTCACTTTGCTTTAAAAGCAAAAGAGAAAAAAATTCTGAAAACTTAAGTAAATGTAGGAAAACATTTTAAATAATATTTAATTGAAAATTTCATTAATATTTTTTAAGACAATAGATTGTACCTAGACAATAGAAAGGTAAAAACTCTTATGGAAATTTTTAATTTTGAAGAAATATTAAAAATTTCCATAAGAGTTTTTACCTTTCTAATGCAAAAACATCTTTGTACCACTTATATTTACCCTTAAGTAAGACCTCATTTTGTAAGCAAATACATAATTTTAAACCAAAACTCCTGTTTGTATTTTTAAAATGTGTTTTTATGTGTGGAGACTGTAATTATAAAAAGATGCAGTAATGACAGTAAATTAGAAAAACACCATATTTCTTTTTTAAATTTTAAGATATTTTCTTCTGAACAACACCATATGCTCGATAATTTAAAAACACAATAGAAATTGTTTGTTTTACATTTTAAAATATAATTTGTAAATTTAATCGAAATTGTTTATGGTTTAGAAAATGGCTCAGGTGTCATTCTTTAATGACATATGCCATTTTTTTTTATCGCCTATATTTGAATAATTTATCAAAAATTTAGAAATGGAAATGAGTAATTAGTTGCAAATTTATTTATTACTTAAAACTTTGTTTTTAAAAACTGACAAAAAATCAAAATTACAAAATTTAGATATAAATGTTAGAATTATTACTTAAAGCAATTATGCAGAAATTCAAAATTATTCAGTTAAGAAGAGTGAAAGAGAACACAAAAATGTCATGCTAACTTTAAATTAAAAATTAAATAGAGAAATTATAAATAAAAATACACTAAAAATTTCAAAAAAAGAAAATTTAGCAATTTGATCCAGCTATAGACATAAATCAAATATAATTGGAACACAAAACAATAACTATCTACACACTTGTAAGTAAATTATCTTAACTGTATCTCAATAATATTAAAATAACAGCCATAAATTTCCTCTTAAATTTTAAAATTTTGTATTCTTATGTTCATTAAATATGTTCTTATAGACAAACAATAATGTCATTTTATTATTGTTTGAAATATGATAGGGGAAAAAACTATGTACTAAAATAAATCAAACACATTAGAATTTTTTCAAATAGTAAGACAATTATGAACCCTTAAGTATTTATTGGCCCCTTTAAGTACATTTCAGGTATGAACAATAATTACAGGAAAAGTAATTACAAAACCATACATTTTGCCAAATGAATAAAAACTGCTTCATTTCTTTAAAACTATCCATATTCATAAAAGTAAGTTATTACATTTAGTACAAATCAATTGCAATTTCTTAGAAGAAAATCAAGAGACAGTAATTAATTTCAATAAAGTCACCAACAGATTTATTAAGGTGAAATTACATTAATTACCCTTAAATTAAATGGTATTGCAATTAAACTTTAGAGTTCTATAGAGAAAAGTAATCTTTGTAACCTGAAAGTTATATTTTATTCAAATTGAGCCAGAGATTAAACAAAAGTTGGGAACACACACAAAATATTTATTATCTGTATTTAAGTAAACAGTCATACTATGCATTTAATGATGCACTGAATATGATCTTCTCTAGAACACTTTCATAAAATAGCAAATTATTTAAAAAGTTCAGAAATATATGTTGGGTACATGGCACAGTAATGATATTTTACCTATTTTATTTTTAAGAAAATATAATTCAAATACAAAATGCATTTGATGCATTTTTTTTTTTTACTCCTTGTGAGTATTTTAAGCAAAACCTTCCGTTAAAAAATGAAAATATATGTATATATATATATATATATATATATATGCATATTTATTTATATTTTGTGCATATAGGGGATATTTCCATATTGTGATTTGCCACACCAACTACAAACGCCATGGGGTCATATTGATTTCAAACAGAAATTTTAAAAAAAAAAAAATAACATGTAGATGCTTGCCCACAGGTAGTTACAAATTATACCCTTCTGGTCAGTACCTTTCTCTGATGCTGCTTTTATTTTCTCATGGGCCCTTCCCAGAAGTTGCAAAGAATTGGCGAATATTCTGCCACAAATCACGATACAGAAATCCCCCCTTAATATATATATTATTGAGCAATTAAACCTTATGCATGTTTTCCTTCATAAAAAATACAAAATATTTGAAATTTTTAAACTCGAAGTTTAATTACTTTTACACTTTAGTCGAACTTTTTTTTAGTAAATTGAACTTATAATCTTTTTCTCTTGCCAACGGAAATCAGAAACTCCCTCTTGACCATTATGAATGTAAGTTATATTTCAACGACGAGTTTAATCGGCAAGTATCCAAAATGTTTTTTCACAAATAAAATTATTTATACCAAATGCCGTTACATGGGCAGTTATTCTACTAAACAGCTGGTCCAAAGAAAACGAAAAACAGCTAGTTACCAATATTTTTACATAACTATTAATGCAGAACAAAAATTTTCATCCCAAAAAAAATTATGAAATAATAATAACTAGATAAAAAGAAGAAAAATATGTCAAAAAATTAAATATTTGTTCATAAGGATACGAAGTAGAAACCACACCCAACATATTAAAAAGGCTAAAGCAAATAAACAAATCTTACCAGCGGTACATAGCATTAAAGTTAAAGAAATTAAAAATAAGCACTCAATAAATTTCATGATTGATAAACAAATGTACACTTAATCATTACAATTAAAATGTAAATGCAATAACAAATAAACAAATTTTCTATGTATATTTATATTTTAAGTTTATGAGACGCTTTTGGATACCTATTTCTATACTGCTTAAGCTTCTAAGCAACTACCTGCTGATTTTTTTTTCTTGCTTAAGGGTTATTCACACTCACACAAAGAAGTCGTGTATCCGAATTTGAAGATGCTATTGAGAGTCTGACTGGGAAGTTTCAACACTGGTATTTGGGACTCCGCGGCCAAGCAGTATCAAACGTTATGCGAAGCGTGGAGGTAGCAGGGTTCGAATTCCGCTATAACACTGGCTGTCCCTTTTCTTAGAGTCCCACAGTGGACTGATCGATAAGACACGGTTCCCAGCTGATCACCGAAGTCAAGCATCACTGGCTGCGGTTAGTGTGCGGGTGGGTGACCACTTGGATCAGTCTGCTTAGGGACCAAGGGTGTGCGGTATTGGTCCTCGTTAAACTGTGCTACCGTAAAATGCTCGACTTCGCTCGCAGGTCGTCGGGCTACCGAAGCGGGGGTGCCATCCCCTCTGCAGAGGATCAAAATTCTGATGGCATGTCTTCGGATCATCCTCCGGGATGTTTCCCAGACCGTCACCAATAGCCCATTGTGCAGCTCTAGTGCGACGCAAATTAACAACAACCTTTTCTTAGAAAAAGATTATAAGCCTAAATTTAGTACTCAAGCCTGCGAATGTACGTAATTTCAATAAATAAATGTCATGCAGTGAACTAATCGTAAGGACATGGTTTCAAGTAGATCACTGAAGTCAAGGACCCCAGACTGCGCTCAGTAAGCGGATGAGTGACCACTTTAATTAGCCTGAGTAGGAACCGAGGGTGCACGGTATCGGTTCTTCTTAAACTGTTCTATAGTAAAGTTCTCGACTTAGCGTGCAGGTCATTGGGCTACCAAAGCAGGGAGGCCATCCTCTCTGCAGAGGGGATTGCCTCCCTGCTCGTCGCCAATAGCCCGTTGTGCAGCTCTAGTGCGACGTACTAGTGGACTGAAATACCTACATACCGACCTCATTAAATAAAAGCTTTTCTTTTTGTATAGAGGAGGTAGGGTAGTCTCAGGATAAAACTCTCATTATACAAAAACAAACTTCCCTCCATTTTAGGCAAAGAAAATGAAATAGTGCGTCATAAATTCTTTGCACATTAAACTTAACGTAATAACAATCATAATTTGAATAAAATTACACTTGTTTATTCCAAAATAACAAATTCTTATTGTGAGTGTGTCAGATATTGTTTATTCTTTAAGAAAAACTAGAAGTGATGTGCGTGCAATATTTACCTCCTTTTTTTTAAGGAGCCATTGATGCAAAGACAGAGAAACTGAAGTGGTGGGGTCACATTCAGCGGATGAACACTAACAGAGTTATGAGAAAAATCTTTAATTCAATCCCTGGAGACTCTAGACCAAGGGTTCCTAACTTACATGAGGCCGAGGGCCATAATTAAAAACACAAATCAAATGGCGGGCCGCACCTTTATCAAAATTTTTTGTAGGACTCTTTTATGTTTGAAGGAACATTAAATATTACTGTCAGAGTTTTATCAAGTTGTACAAAACAAAAGTATTGAATTACAAATTTAAATAAGAAGTAGATTTTTAAAAATATTTAATTGCATACAGTGCCGTAACTTCACCCCTCGGGGCCCTGGGGCAAACATTTTTGGCGGGGGCCCTTTCAAAAACTTTCAGTACTCCATCTCAAACCGTCATTTTAGCTATTTATGTATTATGTTCGAGAATATATTTATGAAAACAAGTTATTTGTACGCATATAAATTTGACTGCAAAACATTGTAAGTTTTAAACATGACAAAATGCAAAATTTCAGAGAAATAGACTAATCCTGAGAAATTAAATTTTAAAAAAGTCGTACTTATAAAACTCGATTTCTCAGGAACTAANAAATATCGGTACTTTCAAAACCTTGTAGAAATGTGTAGCAATAATTTCTAAAGTAACGATTGCAAAATAATTTGATTTGCGATAAAATCGTTACAAATAAGCCATGTCAAAAAATGGTTATCTAAATGAGCGATTCTTTACTCGCGATTCGTAATAATATCGTGCTAAAATATCGAAGTTTTAAAAACCGGGCGGAAATGTGCAGCAATAACTGTTGAAGAAAGGATCTAAAGTCATTTAGATTTTCCATGAAGTTTGCACAAATAAAGCGTTTCATAACTTTCAAAAATCGCTATTTCAGAAACTACTTGAAAATGGGTAGCAATAACTACCGAAAAGTCATTGGAATCGGCACATACGAAAAGCGTCAAAAGTGGTAATTAAAATTCGTAAATCGTAATAATGATGTATTAAAAATTTTGGGATTTTTAAAACTATGCTGAAATCCGTAGCGTTAACCATCGAAAAACTACATTGATTGGGATTGGGTGCGTCAAAAACTTAAAAGTGTAAATTTAAATTACCGAATTTTTTTTTTATTATTCTTCAAAAACAAATACTTAATTTTTTTTTCATTTTGTTCAGATTGCGGCTGCGGGCCGCACATCGAGGGTTGGCGGGCCGCATTTGGCCCGCGGGCCGCAGGTTGAGCACCCCTACCTTAAATTAAATGGTATTGCAATTAAACTTCAGAGTTCTATAGAGAAAAGTAATCTTTGTAACCTGAAAGTTATATTTTATTCAAATAGAGCCAGAGATTACACAAAAGTTGGGAATGCATACAAAATGATGCTTAAGACAAATTATTTTTAAAATCTTTATTATCTGTATTTAAATAGACAGTCATACTATATCAGAATATGATGCATTTTTCTCTGTAACACTTTCATAACATAGTAAATTATTTAAAAAGTGCAGAAATATGTGTTGGGTACAGTAATGATATTTCACCTATTTTATTTTAAAGAAAATATAATTCAAATACAAAATGCATCTGATGCATATTTTTTTTTTTACTCCTTGTAAGTATTTTAAGCAAAACTTTCCGTTAAATAATGAAAATATATATAGGTATACAAGAGTCTGTCTAGGTTTTTCTGAGAGATACCTATTTTGTGAAAATTTAGACATAATTTGTGAAAATTAAAAATTACATTAAAAAATCAACAAAAAAATATGGACTTATCATTTCTTATGAGAAACAAAAATAAAATTTTAAAAGAAAGTATTTTGTGAAACTACTGTTTTACCTTAACTTGAATTTGTGAAGGTACCTACTGCTAAACAGTTTTAAATTTGGCTTGAACGGATCCCTAATATATATGCATATTTATTTATATTTTGTGTATATATAGAATATTTCCATATTGCGATTTGCCACACCAACTATAATCACCAAGGGGTCATATTGATTTTAAATAGAAATTTAAAAAATAGTAATAACATGTAGATACTAGACCGTGGGTGGTTACAAGTTATACCCTTTGAGTTTGTACCTTTCTGCGATGTTGTTTTTAATTTCTCATGGGCACCTGCCCAGAAGTTGCTAAGACATGGCGATTATTCTGCCACAAAATACCCCTAAATATATTTATATATATATAATATTGAGTAAATAACCCTTATGTACGCTTTCTTTCAAAAAAATGCAAAATATTTGAAATTTTTACCCTCGAAGTTTAATTATTTTTACACTTCAGTCGGATTTTTCTTCAGTAAATTGAACTTATAGTCTTTGTTTTCTCTTGTCAACAGAAATCAGAAAATCCCTATTGACTGTTATGAATGTAAGTTATATTTCAACGGCGAGTTTATTCGGCAGGTATCCAAAATATTTTCTAACAAACAAAATTATTTATACCAAATGCCGTTATATGGGCAGTTATTCTACTAAACATCTGGTCCAAAGAAAACGAAAAACAGTTACTTACTAATATTTTTACAAAACCATTAACACAGAACAAAAATTTTCATCCAAGGAAAACATATGGAACAATAATACCAAGATAAAAAGAAGAAAAATAAGTCAAAAAATTATATATTTGTTCATAAGGATGCGAAGTAGAAACCACACCCAACATATTAAATAGGCAATAGCAAATAATCAAATCTTACCAGCGGTACATAGCATTAAAGCTAAAGAAATTAAAAATAAGCACTCAATAAATTTCATGATTGATACACAAATGTACACTTAATCATTACAATTAAAAAGTAAATGCAATAACAAATAAACAAATTTTCTGTGTATATTTATATTTTAAGTTTATGAGACGCTTTTGGATACCTATTTCTATATTGCTTAGGCTTCTAAGCAACTACCTGCTGCTTATTTTTCTTGCTTAAGGGTCATTCACACTTACACAAAGAAGTCGCGTAGGCGAATTTGAAGATGCTATTGAGAGTCTGACTGGGAAGTTTCTTTCGCCGTTATCTATATGCTTATAGATCCTTAAATGTATGCTTACATAACAATCAACAAAACCCCGAGACTTTTTAAAACAACTCTAACTCTTTAACAAAAACATAGCACAGGTATTTGGGACTCCGTGGCCAAGCAGTATCAAACGTTATGCGAAGCGTGGAGGTAGAAGGGTTCGAATCCCGCCATAACGCTGACTGTCCCTTTTCTTAGAAAGAGATTATAAGCCTAAATTTAGTACTCAAGCCTGCGAATGTATGTAATTTCAATAAATAAATGTCATGCAGTGAACTAATCGTAAAGGCAAGATTTCAAGTTGAACACCGAAGTCAAGGACCCCTGACTGCGTTCAGTAAACGGATGAGTGACCACTTTAATTAGCCTGAGTAGGAACCAAGGGTACACAGTATCGGTTCTAGTTAAACTGTTCTACAGTAAAGTTCTCGACTTCGCGTGCAGGTCATTGGGCTACCAAAGCAGGGAAGTCATCCCCTCTGCAGAGGATCAAAATTGCAATAGCGTACCTTCGGATCATTCTCAGGAATGTTTCCCTGATCGTCGCCAATAGCCCATTGTGCAGCTCTAGTACGACGTAAATAAAATGCCTACATACCGACCTCAATAAATAAAGGTTTTTCTTTTTGTATAGAGGAGCTAGGATAGTCTCGGGATAAAACTCTCATTATACAAAAACAAACTTCCCTCCATTGTTGACAAAGAAAATGAAATAGTGCGTTATAAATTCTTTGCACATTAAACTTAACGTAAGAACAATCATAATTTGAATAAAATTATACTTGTTTATTCCAAAATAACAAATTCTTATTGTGAATGTGTCAGATATTGTTTATTCTTTAGGATTTGTTGTTGTTGTTTTTAATTTACGTCGCACTAGAGCTGCACAATGGGCTATTGGCGACGGTCTGGGAAACATCCCGGAGGATGATCCGAAGACATGCCATCACAATTTTGATCCTCTGTGGTGGGGATGGCACCCCCGCTTCGGTAGCCCGACGACCTGTCCGCGAAGTCGAGCACTTTACGGTAGCACAGTTTAACGAGGACCAATACTTATTCTTTAGGAAAAACTAGATGTGGTGTGCGTGTAATATTTACCTCCTTTTTTTAAAAAGCCACTGACATAAAGTCAAAGAAACTGAAGTGGTGGGGTCACATTCAGCGGATGAACACTAACAGAGTTGTGAGAAAAATCTTTAATTCAATCCCTGGAGGCTCTAGACCATGGGTCGCCAAACTTTTTTGATCATCTACCCCTATATAGTTTTTCGAAATCTCCATTGACCCCCATAAAAGAATATTTTCTGTTAATTAAGATAAAACTCTATTAGATACTGTGTTTGTACATTTATTTTATGATTTTGAACATTTATTAAAGTAATAGTACATAGTGTAACAATAGTTTTATAAAAAATATATTAATGTTGAAATTTAAATACCCTCATATTTATTAAATAATAAGTAATTATAAATAAGAAGAAATAATAAGTAAGGTTACTACAAATTTATTGCTTCTTAATCAATAAGATGGGTGTGCCTGGTGTTTTTCTTTTTTTTTTTTGCGAGATTCGCTATATTGTCGGAACTCCACATTTAATTTATTTCTGTACTTAGTTAAGATTGAATTTACGTGACTGAAACCGGCTTCAACCATATAGGAACTTGGAAATGCTGGCATAAATGACTGAGCTATTTCGTACAGTTTTGCGTTTTTTTGCATTATATTTATATTTGTCCAAAATTTGCTTATTGTTAAATTTTTAAAAATCGTCTTTGCTTCAAGATCCGATAACAATTCAGCAAGCTCATCTTGCAGGTTGATGTCCACGTTTTCAATTTGAGAAGAAAATGCCACAATAAGCCAATCAGGGATGTCAATGTTTTCCAAATCAACAAAGCGCAGCTTAAAATCATCGCTCAATTTTTGAAGATGACCTGTACATATTTCCAAGTCTTCTTCTTTTATTTCTAATTGTTGCAGATTTAAAAAAATACTGATAATTCTTACGTAGCAAGAAGAATTACTTGGAAGCTTAACAGTATTGTTTCAGCTTCGATAATTGTTGCATCTTTTCCTTGCCGCTTTCCTTGGACATCATTAAATTTTCCAAATAAGTCAGCTAAATAAAAAATATGGTTCTTATTGCTTTTGTTCAACAACAAAACTATAGCAACGAAACGAAAATCGCAAAATTTTTGAAGATATAATTATTTTAATTTGATGTGTGTAGTTTAATTTAATTTCCAGTTAGTAGTAACCAGCAATAATGTTGTTGTATTGCTTTTTACTACTAACTGGAAATTAAATGAAACTTATTTTATACAAAATTTTTATAATTAAGAGCAGTTAAAGACACACATCAGATAAAAATAATAATATTTTTAAAAAAATTGTAATTTTCGTAAGAAAATACAAAGTGTGCTATAGTTTCGTCGCGGGCTGTACTAATCCATATTAATGCTTACCTTCTTTTCTACATCTACTGATAATTAAAATTGATACCTAAACTAAACGAATGGTTATATCGAGACAATAACTAATTATCCAAAACTGTAAAAGTTTTAATAATGACACTGCAAGTATTCAACACTGTTCACAGTTTGCAAAGATAGCTGAAACTGCGTATGATATTTGCGTTTGTAACGCCAATGCTCGTCACACGTGACATTTGAACAAGCGAACATACGTATATGACTTATAAACCAAAAGTGTAGAGTTCGTGCTATTGTGCGCTGGTACGTAAATACTTGTTTCACCCGAATAAATATAGTACTTTAATTAATTTATGTTCCATAATGAAACTGATATTAGGTCAGTTATAAAACAATTCACAAATTTTACATACTCAATTAGGTATGTGTGATTTGCGTAATAAGAACGGTTTTTTCTTTCACCCCCAATCGACACTTCCGATTCGGATCGACCCCCTCTTTTGTTAAATAGACCCCTGGGGGTCTATATAGACCACTTTGGCGACCTCTGCTCTAGACCATTGGGGAAACCAAGGAAAAGATTTTTTAAAGATGCTGAGAAGGATGCGGAAAAATTAAAAATTGAGAACTAGAAGTGTAAAGCCCAGAACTGTGAAGTATGAAGAACTATCCTGAGGGCGGCTGGAGTTCTCCAGGGATTGTTATGAGTAGAGTAGTAATAAAACAAAAATATTGCGAAATCAATAGTGTAGGTTGGTATATGATTCTCTTTTTACTATAATCAATGGCTTCTCTATAGCTATTCATACATCCAATCCTACATGATATGAATCCCTTGTAATATTACTATGATCCATTGGTCTTTCAAAAAATATTTTGCACTATCAGATTCTTTTCTCTTAATATTCAACTGGTTATTATATGTTATTTGTAATTGTGAGTATAATGTGTGATTTGTAGTCATAATACAACATGAAATTTGATTATGATATCTTGAATGTTCTTCATAAGATTATAAAATTTTAAGATAGTTCTTAATTACTTGATTAAATATTTTATTGGCTTCAAAAATATGCAAATTGGAAATAACAATCGACATATTTCAAGCACACAAACGACCATTTTCAAGACTTGTGGGATGTAAATGAGAAGAAACAAAAGTGATTTAAAGAATAAAACGTTAAGTTGCCAACTGAAAGTGGAAAAATAAAGGTTCATAGTCTTTTATGCTAAACATTGAAAGACACTACATTTGTTTTAATCATTTTAGAAAATCCTTATTGTTTTTTGTCTTCTTCCACTTTTCTATTTTCAGTTATTTAAATATCATTTATTAAATTACTGGGAAATAATATTATTTAAACTAAATTACAAACATAAACTATTTTAAATATTAATTCAATACTTGTTTTTAATGAGATCCTTTCACTTGTGTTAGAAAAAATCTATTTCTTCAGAAGCAGTTTTTTCCACTGAAGAAACTTGTCACACCTGTAATAAATATACAAGTTGCAGGCCATCATTAAAATATAAGAAGATTTCAATTTTAGTTTACTATTTTTAAATATTGTACTCAATTGGATTCTACATTACAATATTTTGGTTAATTTAATTTTTTTCCGCTTAAGTTTGAAATAAAGAATTTGAATTCACTTCCAATTTTTTTTCTTTTAAGTTTGAATTAAAGAGCCTACTGTATTTCTGTGTTTGCAAAAGTATAAAAGAATTCGTAGAAGTATAAAAAAAATTGCTTTTCCAACACATGCATAAGTAAACAGGACATCTAACGTTTTATCATTCAATAGGCAATAAATAATCATGGAATTGGTTAATGAGTTCTTTTTTAGGACTTCTTTCTTAGGATTGGTTAATGACAGGAAGAAAAAATACTGAAATTAGCCAAGAGCTAACTTAATATGAAGCTAGCTTACTAGAAGAATACTCAATAAAATTGTACTGAAAAAAAAAATTTAAAATTATTAAAAAAAAACTATATTTAATAAATTAACAATGTGTTATTGCATAAAATTTATACATAAAATATATCTTCGATTTGCAATGCATAAATTCCTAAATTTGTGATAAAAACAACATTTCTAATTAAAAACAAATAGGTAAAAAAAATTGTAAGCAAATGTGCTAAAATTATTCATACATAACTTTTTAAAACATTCTGGTATATAATTGATGCATAAAACTTTTATTTTCTAATTATAACTTCCGTATAACTTAAAATACAATTTCAACAGCCAGTTATGCTAAAGAAATTGAGCTTCTACCTTCTATAAACATCATCACCCAGAAAAGAAAGATATAATTTAGAGATCCTTCTAAAACATGATAGATAAAGAAAAAACATGATACGAGAGGCATTTTTCAAAGATGATATCATCTGAAGAATGGCCTTCCAGCTCACAATTCCATGGATTACAGTGTATAATCTATTTTAGATTCAAGGTTCTACACAAAACCTAATAAAAGTTTGAACTTTCTAAAGCAAGCCTTTCGGGGAGAACGGGATAAATTTTAAGCAGAACACTGAAGGACAATTGCTGAAAATTTCAATAAGTGCTTGCGTCTGTAAATCACTGCAATAGACAGCCACTTAGAAGTAAATTAAATCTAAGTATTGGAAAAAATCTATTCTTATTATCCTTTGCTGTATTTTTTAAATTTATTTATTCACAGTAAAATTATATTAAAAATTACTGCACCCTAGAAAACAGATTTAAACAAATTTTTGGCAAAATGAATTTTATTTTAAATTCTGAAAAACAAAATGTATATGCAATACATTTTTGTTTCATAACAAGTCGTGCACATTATTAAAACAAAAAATTGACTTTTTGTTTTAAATAGTCCTGCCTTAGAATTATACTTGATATCCTGTCATAAGACAATTGTAAATGTTTTGCTATATTATCAAAATAAAGAAACAAATCTCGCTAGTTAAATGAATGGTCTTTTTAATGAAATACAATTTTGTTTGAACATAAATAAGTTACATAGCAAATTATGTATATACATGACTACAGAATGAAACAAAAAATGTTAACAGGATAATAAAAATTATTTTTATTTTTTTTGAGATATGGAAATAAATTGTTTTACAGGAACATGGAGATAAAAAGTTCTGGTCCAAACAAATATTGGTCTGTAGGAACATCTATAACATTCATTGCAATTGCGAGTACATTTTGCTTCAGAACGATCATGTTTACATAAGACTCCATTTGTAAGCATTTAATTTTCGCTTCATTGAGTAATTAATAGTCTTAGTATCTCTTTCTATTACAAAAAAAAAAAATAAATAAAATAAAAATTGCAATGTTTTATCACTTAAAAAAAAAAACTGGATTTTATTACATTTAGAACAATATTTTTAAATCCATTTGTGAAAAAAATACATTAGAAAATAACAAAGGAAGAGTAAAAAAAAATTTCTTTATCTTTAAACACACTGTAAATTGCAAATCAATTCAATTTAAATTGTCCTTTGCAAGAAGAAAAAATAGACTAAATTAAGAATCAAATGAGCAAGGTTTTTCCTTTAAAACTTTTACTTGAATAAAGCTTCTTTCTAGCATGAGTTACACAATGTCGATTTAATTTTGATCTATTTGTAAAAGATTTACTACACACACTGCATGAATAAGGTTTCTCTCCAGTATGAGTAAAATAGTGTTCTTTCAAATTAGTTTTCTGTGCAAATGTTTTATCACAAATAATGCATGAAAAAGGTTTCTCTCCAGTATGAACAATATAATGTCCTTTTAGATAAGTTTTAGAACTGAATGATTTATTGCATACACTGCATGAGTAAGGTTTCTCACCAGTATGAATAATACGGTGCATATTTAAATTATATCTCCTTGCAAAGGATTTATTACAGACACTGCATTCATAAGGTTTTTCTCCAGTATGAATAAGATAATGTCTTTTTAATTTAGATCTTTCTTTAAAAGATTTATTACACATAATGCATGTGTAAGGTTTCTCACCAGTATGAACAAGATAGTGCATTTTTAAATTAGTTTTGCAAGAGAATGTTTTATCACACATACAGCATGTATGTACTTTACGTCTAGTGTGAACAGGATAGCACATTTTTAAATGAGATGTCTATGAAACTGTTTTATCTTGCATACAGCATATGAGGCTTCTTTCCAATATGAACAGGAGAGTTTTTACTTTAATACCTTTTTTGTGTTAAAGCTTCATTACACACATTGCATAAAGTTTTCTTTTTAGTAAAAACATAATAGTTTCTTTCCAGCATAAAGAGGATTCGGTATCACTGTTTTCTGCGCACAATGAATGTCATCTTTGGTTAATTAAAATGGATAATATTTTATAACATCAATCTAATTACCACGCTAAGGGTAATTTTTATTGCATACACTCCGCATAACACTTAAGTACAAAGAATAATTTTCATCACTAGCACATCAGAAATAACACGTATTTTTTTTACAAAAAGGAATAATTTCGGTGAAATTATTTTTATTTGCAAATACGTGTATTCAAGGAACTTATGAGGCACAGTTGTTTTTTCAGCATGTCTTTTTAACAGTTAAAGCATCTTACATGATGCAAGAAATATATCCTTACAATCAAGAAAATCACATTAGAAAAATGCATTAATCAATTAAGAGGTTGTTTGTTGATAAATTATTGTTTGAATACGTTCAACTCAATGCTATTTGCTTACAGCTTTCTTGGGCGAGCAATAAGAGACTAGACAAAAGCTATAAGCTATTAGCATGGAGCTTGTCACACTCTTGCATCCTATCCCAGTCCCGCAGTGGATGAATTAAAGAGCCTACTGTATTTCTGTGTTTGCNACGTTCAACTCAATGCTATTTGCTTACAGCTTTCTTGGGCGAGCAATAAGAGACTAGACAAAAGCTATAAGCTATAAGCATGGAGCTTGTCACACTCTCGCATCCTATCCCTTGCCGTCAAGTCAGCTATCGTAGTCCGTGTTCAAATTACTGTAAAATATTCACAAAGAAATTGAGTTTTTTTAGACACTATCTTGTTCATTCTAAAAAAGTATTTACTCCATTCAATATGCTTAACATACAATCTACTCAAGCAGATAGTTTAAAGGAACACTCTATTGTTTCTACTGTAAAGAAACCTTATTCATGTAGTGCATGTGAAAAAACTTTCGCATGGAAACACGGCTTACTTAAACACTATCTTATTCATACTGGAGAAAAACCTTACACATGCAATATATGTGATAAATCTTTTAATGACAAATGTAAATTAAAAAGACATTCTCTTGTTCATACTGGTGAGAAACCTTATAGATGTAGTGTGTGTGATAGATTTTTTGCAACTAAAAATAATTTAAATGTACATCTCATTCTACATACTGGAGAGAAACCTTATTCATGTAGTGTATGTAGTATATCATTTGCACATAAATCTAATTTAAAATCGCACTATTTAACTCATACTGGAGAGAAACCTTATTTGTGCGATGTGTGTAATAAATCTTTTACACATAGATCTAAATTAAATAAACATTCACGTATTCATACTGGAGAAAAACCTTTCGCATGCAGTGTGTGTGATAAATCTTTTAAGGACAAATGTAAATTAAATAGACATTCTCTTGTTCATACTGGTGAGAAACCTTATAGATGCAGTGTGTGTGATAGATTTTTTGCAAATAAAAATAATTTAAATGTCCATCTCATTCTACATACTGGAGAGAAATCTTATTCATGCAATGTATGTAATAAATCATTTGCACAGAAATCTAATTTAAAAGAACACTATTTAACTCATACTGGAGAGAAACCTTATTTGTGCAGTGTGTGTAATAAATCTTTTACAAATAGATTTAAATTAAATAAACATTCACGTATTCATACTGGAGAAAAACCTTTTGCATGCAGTGTGTGTGATAAATCTTTTGATGAAAGATCTAAATTAAATAGACATTCTTTTGTTCATACTGGTGAGAAACCTTATAGATGCAGTGTGTGTGATAAATCTTTTGCGAGTAAAAGTAATTTGAATACGCACCTCACTATTCATACTGGGGAAAAACGTTATTCATGTAGTATATGTGATAAATTATTTTCTCAGAAGACTAATTTGAAAGATCACTATTTTACTCATACTGGAGAGAAACCTTTCTTGTGCACTGTGTGCAATAAATCCTTTGCAAATAGATCAATATTAAATAGGCATTGTATTGTTCATACTGGAGAGAAAACTTATTCAGGAAAAATTCATGAAAAAATATAATTAAAAGAGACATTCACTGTTAACAGTGAAATATATTTATCTAGTAGCTAACTAAAGCTGAAATTTTGAGCCCTATAAAATTCTTTGAAACTTTTATCAATACTTTAGAGTATGATATTTGATATATTCATTTAATTTATTTATAAGAAGTTGTAGAATTGTACATATAGAATCTATATGTAAAATTTTACATATAGACTAAATATTTTCTGAAACAGCGGAAATTTCATAGTGGTTGGAAGGTACTATGTAACATATCATAGTAACTTTTTATACTTTATTATATTTATATGAAGTATTGTGATAAATTTTTTATTATTCTTCGACTTTCTGCTTATTGATATGTATATCATATTACATATCAATGTAATATGATAAAGGTTCTGTACTGTAATTTTATTTGTTAACAATATATAAGGATATTATTATTATGATATATAATAGTTCACACTTGGAACAGTTTTCATCTTGTTCCAGTTTTAATATTAAGATTTATATGTGGTAACATTTAATCTCTTTTTTAATTTTTATTTATAATTTTTTTTTNACTTTTTATACTTTATTATATTTATATGAAGTATAGTGATATATTTTTTATTATTCTTCCACTTTCTGCTTATTGATATGTATATTATATTACATATCAATGTAATATGATAAAGGTTCTGTACTGTAATTTTATTTGTTAACAATATATAAGGATATTATTATTATGACATATAATAGTTCACACTTGGAACAGTTTTAATATAAATGTTAAGATTTATATGTGGTAACATTTAATCTCTTTTTTAATTTTTATTTATTCATTTTTTTTTTTTTTGTTGTTGTTGCTATTGGCATCAAGTTCAGTGCAAGCTTAGAAATTGAAAATTGTAAACTTGATAAATTTTTCGACAGCAATGGATAAATAATTATTATTTAAAGAAGAAAAATTGCAAAAAATTCTCAAAATTTAGATAACTTTTGAACAAATAGGAATTTTGAAAAAAAAAAAATTAGTTTTAAAATCTCACGCGATTACTTATTGAATTTATCAAAAACAAATTTTTGGTATTTATACTAATTGATTTTGCAAAATGAAACATGACAGAGCAGTAGTAGCTATCTATTATTATTACTCTAAATATTGATTTATAGCAAGTTAAAGTCAGTTAAGGACGTATCAAATAAGAGATGTGTAATGAAAAGCTTGATATTTTCAGAAAGGGGTTTAGGAAAAATAAGAATTATATCATCTTCTGTTACTACTAGCGTTGGGTTTTGATGTTAAAAACTAGTTTTTCACAAGACACATCTAAAACATGTTGAAAAGTGTCAAAAACCTGAGGCAAATTTCTTTCTTACCATTGGGGACATTTTATTAGACACTACTATCACGCACTATACTTGCATTATAAATAATGTATTTTATTAATCATGAATGAAAAATATATCCAAAATTATTGAAATTTTTTTTTAAGAAATTTTAATTCTCAATATTTGTTATTAATAATTAAATGTTCATGAATATTGCCAATAAATCATGATTATGAATTGATATATTCCTTGATAAGTAAACTAATTGTAATTTACAAAAAATATAAATTTCCGTTTAAGTGAGTTAATATTTTTTCAGTGAATAATTTTTAGGGTTTAAAATATTTAGTACAGTTCTTAAATAAATTTCCTAATTACATGTTACTTTAGCTCATTAAAACAGTTTTGGAACATCTACATTTAACTTCATGCCGGTCAGCATCACTCAAAAGAATGTTTTCAATCTTAAGTCTTATTTATTCAAAACTAAAAAATAAGCTTGGAATATAGGGGGCTTTGATTTGAAACTATTTTTCCATAATTGCACGCTTCAGAGAAAGGAGTAGTTAATATTGGAATAAAAAATTGATTCTACACATAATGAATAAGATGATTCTTTTTGTATTTTTATTTTCAATAATTAAACAAATTAACAGATTAGATATAAATTGCAATTTTATAAATTTTTTTTTCTACTTATTTAATATTTTCCACACTAAAGTTTGGATTTTTGACATTAATTGTTAGAACAAAGAGAGGGTTGAAAGTCAAAATGACTCCAGAACATAATTGATTGATAACTTTATATGTACTTTTATTCTAAAATCCTCCTATATTTAGTAGCTAATAATTATTTTTTACACTAAAATTTTTGGTTTTTGAGAATTGTCAAAAAGGGGTTTGTGACATCACAGATAAAACCGTCAATTGTCAAAAACTCAATAACAATGGTTGGTCAACATTAGTTGGATATAAAGTATATTTTTATTGCCATTGCATAACATAAATTTAATTCACAATGGAACTCAAAAAATTTATTCGTAGTCATAATTCTTTAAAAAAAAAAAGATAAATTATAAAATTATTTTTAAATCTAAATACACAGTAAAATTCTTGTGTAATTTTTATGAACACGGGTATGAGATATTCTGTTTAAAATGTCTTTTTTGCCCAATATTTATGAACTTGAAATTTTGTTCTAGTTACACAAAACTAGTTTAGTGTAACTTTTGCAAATAAAATTAATAAAATGAATATTTGTATACCTGATCATTTTAAAACAAATTTTATATGTACTTTCATGAAATATTTGTAAACTTTTGTTTTCTGAACTTTTATTCTGCATTTTAAACTTTTAAAGTTGAATTGTTAAAAAAGAATATTTTCTATCTATTAATTGTATAATTCTATTCGATAGCTAGAATAATGCTTATAATAAAGTTTCTCTAAATTATCTTGAATCGGTTTATTTTTTCCTGATCATTTTGAATTTGCATGGTTTTAGGTGAACCAACTTTCTCCGTAATCTAAGTTTTACAAAAGATCATAACTTCCTTACAAATCATATAAATTTAAGGAGGATGTCTGACCTAAAAATTCTAACGAATGTTTTATTTTTTATTGAATATTTTGATACTTTATGCTATGGAGTATATGTTGGCCGAAACCGTTATTCGGATCAACTGTTGAGGGGTCACAGATAGAATAGGAGACAATCAGGCCCGCATACGAAGGCTTGCCTAATGACAATTCATTGGAAAGATATGTTGGCGCTAACAGTCAAAACAATAACGAATTGCTAATTTGGAGGTTTTCTCCAAAACACATATACTCTGGTAAAGATTTGGTCAAAATTGTCAATTATTTGTTCGAGTTTAACAAACAGCTCGCCTACCTCCAGCAAAGGTGTCAGATTTGTGGCACAGGAAGAAGCAGTGCATGCAAACAAAATGTATGAGTCCAAGGAAGGTGTGATGTATGGTCAATGCATCACCAATTGATGGTAGGTTTCAAAAAACCGAAGAGAAATGCTATAAAATCTTCTAACATGATTACCTAAAAATCATGATTTTTTTTTGTTAGACGTCTGGATTGGTGAAAAACGACTGGATTTTTTTGATGTTGATTTGGAAATTCGTAAAGAATTGATGTGGCTATGGTCGGAACAAACAAAAATCAAATATTTTCCAAAATTTCAGTTATTTTAAACCTGTTTAGATGGTAGATTTTTGTTAACTTCTGTGAAATTTTTTTATTTTAGATTCTGTTGGTTTAAACATGCCTGCCAACTTTTTTTTATAAATGTTTAAATGCCAAAATTAGACTTTTGTTACCTTTTTTTTCTTCAAAAGGCCGTCATTTTGTGAAAAAAATTACATTTGCTTTTAATTATAGCTGCACTTGTTGCAGAATGATATATAGATTCAGTAGAGAATGGGTGCATTGAATAAAGACACCATATTTGATAAACAAATTTAATATTAATAAAACAACATGATGGTACGGTATTTTTAGAGTTTTCTGATACTCCATCCATTCCCTGCCACACAAGTGATTACAACACCCACTGCTTGTCAAGCAGAAATTCATATCAGCACTCGCATATAAATGGTAATTTTTGAACTGCTTCAGATTATACAGTATGGAGATCGAGCTATGCCCGTCTATCAGTCTGCCAGCACTGCTTTCTTTGCCTTAATTTTTATATGTTAATTTATAATTATTTCAGGTTAGGAAACCCATTTGGACTTCAACCAAGCAACAAATATTAAATTAAAACACTTTATAATTACAATCTAGTTTCAATAATACCATCATTTAAAAGTCATTTGATAAATAATATGGTGCATGGAGTTTTAAAAAAGTGCTTATTTCTGTTTTTTTAAAGCCCTTAAAGGTGCTTTTTTCATAGTGTGTTTTTAAAAAGTGCTTAATTTTACCTTTTTGAAATTGAGATTTTTTTCTTTACCATGTCGATTTTCGCTACTTATTATGCAAAAGTGTGCCTTTCACATTGTTCTATTTACCTTTTTAATTCATTTGACCACAATCTATTTCAGCGTACTGTCGGTCCGTAGCGTATGAAAGTGCTAATCGTTTTACATGTGTGTCTACTAAGCTGGGTTCAGTGAGATTATTGCACTCTCATGTTCATCTTTTCTGCATTTTGCAAGATATTCTCTCCCCCCCCCCTCGTGATATTGAACAGATCTCTTGATCACATTTTAACGGCTAATATAATCAAGAAAAGAGTTATTTGTCAAAAACTAATTATTTTATCATGATCGTGTAAAGTTTTTGAAAACTATTTTGCATTTTGTTAATGTATATAGTGCTTTAAAATATTTTTTGAGCGTTTAAAAAGCACTCATTTTTTGGTGAAAGATTTGGCTGTGTACCCTGAATAAGTAAAAATAAAAAAAGGAAAAGAAAAAAATAATGAATTTTTTTCTAAAACTGAAACAACTGTAGTTGTAATGTTTAACATAAAGGAGTATGGTAAAACTTAATTTTATAATCATACAGAGAACTTTTGAAATATCGTAAGCAAATTATATACAGTAGTATCCACTAGGCCTGGGCAATATACCGCAATACCGTCATTTACCGGTATTTCTTTGATACCGCGGTAATGATATTCGGAAGTATATTCTTCGGCAATACCGAGTTATTGAACTTCGGTATGCCTGCACCTCTCGGTACTCACCGCTAGCCAATATCTTCGGCCGACCGGCGGCGAGGAAGTGGCGGTATGGTATGGTATCTAGGAGGTATTGGTATGGCACGTGATTGATTTAGGGGTGAAGAACTCAAAGGCTTGCGCGTAATATTTACGGTACCTCCTCTCGGCAGCTAGAAATTTCTCCTACAATATATTGTGGTATCATTTGACTTTAAAGCGCATGCGTCATATCCGTGGTATTGGCGATATCGGATTTCAAACACCCGCGCGTTATATCAACCCTCCATGGTATACTTAGTTACTGATTTTGGTTTCATTTTGAGAATAGCGTGCTTCTGATTTTAAAAATATCCGAGATTGTCGGATCTCCTTGTGATGTTTATAATTGTGTTGATATTTATAATTGTTGATGTTTATAATTGTGTTGATGTTTATAACTGTTTTGATGTTTATAATTGTGTTGATGTTTATATTAGTAATTGATGTTTATATTAATAAAATTTTTCTGTTTTAAAATAATGATGCTTTATAATTAGTTGATTCCATGGGATAATTATGCTGCGAGCTAATATAGGATAAGTACCCCATTTTTTTTAAATGATGCTCTTTAAACACATTAATTTTTAATTGCAAAATAGTCTTAGCATTTATAATATACATAACAATTTAATTACCGCGGTATATCATAATATCGTGATATGAAGCTCACAATATACCACAATATCGAAATTCTGACATTGCCCAGCCCTAGTATCCACATCATGTGATCACTTTGGGGGACACAATGGTTTTCATAACATTAATAGATTGATAACAATAAACAAATCACAAAATCAGATAAATTTACCAATTTAAGCCAATTGCTGAATTTGCAAATGAAATGAAAAAAAATCTATGAATATTGTATCTTTTCCTTAAAATATAAAAATTATACATAATTAAAAAAATCATCATTAGTTGATTGTCTATAATTTTTCCTATGAACCTCATTAAATTGTTCTTAATGTTTTTTTTTTAAAGTCATCGGAGCGCTTTCTCTTCTTAAGACATCGCAATGAAAGAGGGGTTAATTCTCAGAAATTTAAACAATAGTACAGGGAAAAAAAAACCAGGCTTCTTGTGAAAATGTAGTGAATATTTCTTTGGCAGTTAAGATGATTTTTGAAAAATAAATATAACTGATAACAATAAACTATGTAATAATTACAGAAAGCGATAATTTTAACATACAATTGAGTCGATAAAATTAGGACCTAGTGAATTTGATAACAATAAGAGATTGATAACATTAACCCTGATCTCAGTAAATGTTAGCTAGTACTGTATTATAATAACTACAAATCACACATTTTCACAATTACAAATATAATAGTAGCTTATTTTCATAACCAAATGCTGCTAAATATTAAAAAAAATAAATAAAATCAGGTGATGCAAAGTAATTTAAAAGACTGCTGACCAGTGGATGATAGTTACCCTAAATATGACAAGGTTTCTATCGGGGAAAAGAAATTTTGATACAATTACCTTAAATGTAAAATTTTAAGTATGTTTGATACTCACTCTTTCAGATAAAAAAAGATTAAATTTAAAATAACAATATTTTTTTTATTTCCAATGAACTGCACAATCGGTCTTGCCGATGAGCAGACCTAGTGCGTTCTCCAGAGGTGGTATCCACTCTTTCAGGACCACCACAATGGGTGAGATACCGTTGGTCATGTTAATTTGGACGTCTAGTTTCTGCCACACTAGATGGCAGCACCGAGACTCTATTTGGATGCTAAAGTGCACTAGGAATTTAATTTTGCCGGAAATGCCAAGAGCCAATAAGGCACTCCAGGGATCTTTTACATGCCGCATAATCATACGACATGGCCGCTGAGGATTTTCTGCATCCCGAAAATCCGGTGTCTGGGCCGGGGATCGAACCCGCAGACTTGGGCTCAGAAGGCCGATGACAAACCAACTGCGCCACACAGCCACATAAAATAACAATATTGTCTACCTGATTGGGTCATGTCCTAAATGTGACAAGGTGTAGAGCTGAGCAATTTAAACTGCTGTTCTTTAATCTGAATTAGTAGTGCAGAAAATCATGACAAATATTATATGAGGTAACAGCGGAAAAATTTGTGAGATTGCTTTGCAACAGCTTCTTTCAATTTTCCTGTGGTGCAATTTTTAAGCCAGGTTTTAGAATGTCTTTTAAATTCTAATAATAGTCCAGTATAACAATTTTTCATTTAAAAATTTAATTTCTACAGAATATCTGGCATTTATTTATTTCATATAAATTTTCAATAAAAATTGAACACAAAATTACCATCAGTAATATTTTGAAATGCACATTTGATTTAATTTAGATATTAAAAAAAGTAAAAAATTTTCATCTATTGATTTAATACTTAATAAGAAACTTGTACAAAAATCATGACATGACTGGATGGTGGATGTTTTATTGAACATAGAAAAAATTGAAATATTTAAATGCATGTATATCAAATTAAAATGACTGAATACAAATTAAAAATTTACTAGGCTATACAATAGTTAATGAGGCAATACAATAAATCTTGCATTATACAAAAATTTACCATAAAAATGTTATTTTAAGATGTTGTTACAGTTGGAGTAACTTTATGTATTTTATTTAAAGCTAAATCGGTCCATTTTTGTTCTTGTTCTCTCAATGTTTCTTGTGGATTTCCATTATCAGGTTCAGGATCTGGAAGTTCTGAAGCAGGGACGGCAATAGGTTCATCAGGTAACTTTTCTTCTCGCCATGTGCTGTCAACAATATCAATAAGTCTGCCATTGCGTGCAACATTGCTATCCATGTCTTAAGAGTGAGACCTAAAATATATTTATCATTAAAAATAATTTCTGATGAATAATACTAACTTAAGAATATACATCAGAAATTAAAGGGAAAGAAAATGAAAATTATTTATAGACTTAGCATTACAGGGTTCATACTCATATGAAGAGAAGTAAAATAAGGATTCTTTTTTTTCAACTATAAAATATATAGAAAGTAAATTTCATTAAACAAAACAAATTGAAGTTTAAACTTTGTAATTCAAACACTATACAATCAGAAGCATAACAAGGATTTTATTTTAAATTTTTAAAATAAATCCCACTTTCAATTTAATGGCATCTTTCGTATTGATTACAACCCAATGCTCTACATCCATAATTTTTAACTGGTAAGCATACTTTTTGAAAAGGAAATTATATTCCCTTATTTAAAACCGTTTTTTTTTTTAAACAAATAAAATTTTTATTTTCTTCTTGCCAAGTTTAAAACTCGTTTACAGAAGGTTTTCATGACAACCTGTTATTTTGATGATTAGTGAAATAAAAATAGTGGAAAAAATGCTATTTAATATTTATTGAAACACTTTAATGCTAATATTGGTATTATGCCAATTTAATGCTAATTATATAATTTAAGATAAATATTGAGATAAAGCTCGACTCTAATAAGCATCTAGATCTAATCCATGGTGCAAGGAAGACGAGGATTATGGGGATAAATACCCCTTAGAATTAAATTAACAGCCAATTAATAATAAAAAAGAAAGACAATGAAATAACAATTCAAAAATGAATAAAATGCAAACATTTTGCAGCATTAAAAAAAAAAAAGTGTTAGAGTATGGAATAGGATGCCTCGAGAATTGGGCACTGTAACTTGAAGCTTTTTACCATACATAAAATCTTTAATTTTCTTTCCATTTATTATTAGAAAATCTCATTTTTAAGTCATTTTTCTCAGTTTTCGGCCTGAACATAAAAGATTTTTAAAATAAAAGGGGCACAGTACTGCAAATCAGTGACCGTGTGGCAGAATTTTTTTCAGATATCTGCGACTACACTCTCTAGCAGTATTATCTTTCTGCAAGATACTTTTGATACTAACAAACATATATTTTACTAATTTAAAATAACAAATATGCTGTGTCAAAAATAAAAAATCTATTACTTTCTTAATTGAACATGTAATAATTTTTTATTCTATTATTATGGGTGATATTCTCGCATTTTGTTCAGGGGGAAACGCACACATTATTTACTTACGCATTTTGTTGTTATTGTTAATTTATGTCGCACTAGAGCTGCACAATGGGCTATTGGCGACGGTCTGGGAAACATTAAAACTTTTTTTNGAAGACATGCCATCACAATTTTGATCCTCTGCGGAGGGGATGGCACCCCCGCTTCGGTAGCCCGACGACCTGCGTGCGAAGTCGAGCACTTTACGGTAGCACAGTTTAACGAGGACCAATACCGCACACCCTCGGTCCCTACGTAGACTGATCCAAGTGGTCCCCCACCCGTACACTGACCGTGGCCAGTCCACTGCGGGACTACGCATTTTGTAATTACATATTTCGTATTTACACATTTGCATTACGCATTTTGTAACTAATCATCACAATAAAAAAAAAATTATTAAATGTCATGAAATCTGCAGTAGTAATTCTTAAAAAAAAGAAAGAAAAAAGATTGATGACGGAATTACGCAAATGGGACTCCTCAAACGAGTGTTTCGTTTTGAGATAAGGTTGTTGTAATAAATAATATTGTATAAAAATATAGGATTTTAAAAATATGGAGAAATCAATAGCAAATAACTTCTGAAAATTCTATAGAATTATTGCCTTAGAAAATAAATACTCAAATGCACGATTCGAATTTTCCATATTGTTTCAAATATATTGGGATGTTTAACAACCACATGAAAATCAATAACTGCTGAAAATTCAATCGAAACATTACATCGATTTACGATACTATCGGTGTAAATTGCGCATCAATCAAAACAGTAATTATCTAAATGCATGATTCAAATATTACAAGTAAATTTTGGTAAAAAAGAAAGTTTTAATCTTGACATATTAATTAGTTGTAGTATATCACCAATTATGAACTCCAAGAAAATGATAGCAAAAGAGTACAGTTTTGCCAATTTTTAAAAAAATACAACAGGCTTTAAAAAAAATAGAAAAGTATGAGACTCATAAATTAATCTGAAGTTGAAACAATTAAATGCAATTCTAAATGAAGTTAAATTTAAAAAATACAAAATATGTTCAAGATAAAGCTTAGTAAAATTTTTTAATTATCGTTCGAATTATCCTCTTCTTTTTCTATATTTATCATTCAATAATAATAAGTATTTAAAAGTAGTTTATTAGGTATTTTGCCAGCGCAGGCAATAAAATGGCAACTGGGCACAAGTAAATTCAAATGGTTTTTCTCAACTATTTTTTAGGTGAGGCTATTTTTTTAGTAAATCAATAAAATAGCTGAATTTACTTCTGCAGGCGTAATTTATAGGCACAGTTTATTATTTAAAAGGTTTTCTATTTTAATTGTTGTTAATTCAAAATAAACCTTTAGAAAATTTATTGATACATTAAATTATCAATCTTAAAATTTTACTGGAAAAATAGAAAAATTTTACTGGTTGAGCCATTGAATCTGACAGTTGGAGTATGGGTCCTTGAAATTTCTAGCTGACAGTAGTGAAAGAAAATAATCTTTCAGTGATTCTGCTACAATTTTGAAGCTACGGATCTTTAGGACACAGGACTTCGATATTTCTGGGTCTCTTTTTACTAAAAGCGGGTTCCTATTAAAAATTAGAATTCTCTACCTCTTTATTCATCTATTAATATTCACATTCATAATTCTTTTTATCTATTAATAGACAAAATAAAGAATTTATAAAAAATAAGAGTTATATATGAACAATAAAGTCTTTTAAAACTGATCAAACATGTACCTCAAGGAAAAGCAACAATGTAATTTCATACCCAGAATTCTAATTTTCTCATTCAGCTTTGAAAAAAAAAAGAAAGATAGAAATTTATGCATGCATAAAGTTTGGTTGAAATTTTGTCTTTTTCCTCTATGCTGGAGAATTACATGTGCCAGGCCATAACTTATTTTTGATATCTCTGTTTCAATTTTTTGGTGCATTTTACATACTCTACTAGCATGTAACTGGAATCACTAATCTATACACTAACATAAACTTTTGAATCATTAATTCAAGTTTTAATTTTTCTCTAAAGAATCAGATTGCATTTTATCCAAATAATTAACATTTTCTAGAATTAGTAATAAAAAAAATTTTGCACCTCCTGTGGCAGAATTTTTTTGGGCTTTTTGAGACAAACCTCTCTGGCACTAGTAATATCTCTCTGCAAGACATACTTTTAATAAAAACAAATTTACATGTTACTAATTAAATTAAAATAATATAAACAATGTGTTCACAAAAAAAAAAACTCTACTTGGACAAAATAAAATTGTAGGTAGCTATATATTTTTTTAAAATGAATATGTAATATTTTTTTAATTCTAATATCATGGGTGATATTCTCACATTTTGTAAGAAGAAAAAAGACTAATTATTTTCTTTTTCACCATTTCGTAAGTCACATAATTAACACATAATTAAACGGTCACATAATTAAAAATCATGAAACCCGAAGCAGTTACTATCGAAAAAAAGATCGGCGGCGAAATCAAGCAAATTGGATTCTTTGGTACTAAATGTGCGTTTCTTTTCGAGATTTGGTTGTTGTAATATGTAATATATTAAAAACTTTGTGAAAATAAATACCCTCTCCTCCCCTGAAAAAAAAAAACAAGTGATAGATAGAATCATTGCTTTAAAAATTAAATATTCATAAGCGCGATTTGAATTTTCCACATTATCTAAAATATATCTGGATATTTAAAACCAAATGTGAAAATCAATACGAATAACTGCCGAAAATAAAATCGAAACATTACATGGAGTTTCGATAGTATTGGTATAAAGTGAGCACATCAATAAATAATTATTTAAATGCTCAATTTAAATTTTAGGTGTAGAAATAATATTAACTGAGAAATAACTGGAATTTTAAAAACCCTGTGGAATTCGGTAGCACTAGCAATAAAATATGTTATAAAAAAAATAAAAAAACGAAATCGTTACATTAAAAGTAAATAATTGATTTGAGTTTTGCGTATAAACTGGAGCTCTGTGAAAAAAACATTTTATTGTGGGTGAAAATTAATATTCATGTAAAATAAATTATCAAATTTTAAATTTATTTTAATAGAGAATATAAAAACATACAAAAGCTCAATGGAGTAACATAGTTAATTATCAATAGTAAATTACTAACAACTCTTTTCTTTTTATCTCTGAGAATGTTGAGAAACTTGTGACAATCTCCATGAATTTACAAAAGTTTTCTTATTACCTACAGCATTTATTATTAATAACTGAATTAACTTCCTTTTGTGATTGTAATGATGGTAATTTGCGATTGAAATTTCTACCAGTTTCCGACTAGCTAGAAAATTCAAATATTTTCTGAAACTCTGTGCTAAGTGAAAATACAAGTAGATTCCTGATCACAACAAGAGTTTATTACCAATTAAAGGAAAATTGCATGTAACGCTAATGGATATTTTGATCACTTTCTAAGTAGCCGAAGAGTTCCAAATTCAACCATTATTCTAATTGATAAAATAAGCTAAAATTGTTTCCGGAATATTGTAAGCTAAGTTTATCATCATTTTATCACTTAAGAAATTTTTCGATAAACAAAACTTTTTTGCTTTATATATAGAAGTTATTAGTAATTGAAATTTTGACTCTTTTAAAACATAAACAGATCCAAAACTGCAAAAAAAAAAAAAAACATTTTTTAGGTAGACTAAAAAGAAAATAATAATTATATTTTTGTCACACCTAAAACGAAAAATGTTCGTGCATCACTTTCTAGAACCGGAGAGGAAGATGAATTTAAGTTGCTGATAAGATCAATCCCTCTTCTGTCTTCAGAAAGCGGTGCATTCGACATTTTTGATTATATGAGTGATAAAATCCAATTATTTCACTCTTTTTTTCATTGACTTGAAAAACCTAGCATTTATAATTTTATTTTACATCATTTTATTTGTTACAACCAAGTAAAAATATTATTTATATTTAATATTTTGAACATACAGAAAAAGTTTTGAATTAATAATAAATTAACTATGAACCATTATATGTTACTTCAGTTTGATTTCTCTTCTGTGAAAATTAACAACAGAAAGTAAGTTTTGTATATAAGTGATATACTGATAGAGCAGTTAATTTATAGCATACAATATGCTTGAATTCTAATTTTATTGTAAATTCACAAATAGGCAGAGTAGGAGATTAACGGAAAAAAATCTAGCAGTTTCATTTATTTATATTTTATTTACATAATCTGTTGGCTTGAACAAAACGTTTGTTGTTTGCCTGCTGGTTTAACCACAGCTCGGGGAGGGTTTAAACAAAAATATTTTAAAATGATTTCAATAAAAAGACTACCTACATGCAAACGAGAGGAAATTTAATTAAAAAAATTGTCTTTCCTCATTCTAATAAAAGATTTTAAATCAGTTAAATTTAAAAAAACAACTGTTACCAATCAATTGCATTGATACAGACCAATTTTTAAATTAATAGCTATAATAACTTAACCATTTTTTGCCTTTAGGACTTTTGATGTGCATAAATAATCTAATATTAATTTGAGAAGTTTCATATTATTTTCAATTATGGTTTTAAAGAAGGATAAATTTTTTTTAAATACATTATGCTAATGCATCAATATAATATGTTTTAAATATTTTAATAAAACTGTTTATTAATTTTAATTTTCACAATGTAGTTCACTATTCAATATTACCAACTATTTTTTTTCTCTTTTCCCCATATTTTTCAAAGAAAACATAGTAACACAAAAAGCATCACTATTAAAGTAATTTAAAAAGTTATTAAATAAATTACATTAAATTAAGAAAAGGAGAAATTATACTAGTTAAACTAGCTAACTTTTTCAATTTAGACCAAACTGGTTTTAAATTTATTCGAAATATTGTTTTAATGCAAATTTTAATTTTAAAAATAATACAAAATTGTGGTTACCCAGTACCATCCATATTTCGAAGGACAGAATTCCGTATATGTCGAAAAAAATATGTTTATTCTGAGAAAGTACTTTTTTGTGTGTGATTTAATAACTTAATATTGTCAACATTAATTAACATATTTAAGGAACAGCCTTAACTGGTTTGAAATCTTTTTTTCAAATATTAAAAAAAAATTGCGCCCCAAACTACAGCACTGGATATGAAGAGGTATAAAATATTAGGAATCAACTTAAATGAATTTATTCTTTTAACTTTATAAACGTAGATCGCTTTTCTATAAATTATTAAAAAAAAAAACAGAGACGAAAATTAAAAAGTCACTTACGTTCTATATAACGAAAATAAATTTTAACTTAAATGAAGGGATAGTCATAAAATTTAAAGTATTTGAAAAATTCTTTGAAAATTTTGGTGCCTAAAATAATTCTTTGTTGCTTTGAAGCAATGACATGATAATGATTAATCGATGTAAACTGCATCGGGATTATCAAAACTTTAAATACACTTCAATTTCCTCTCTTTTCGTTCTTAAATGGAAAAAACGTATTGAACGGATCTACTTATTCATTACAGGAAAAGCTGGCTTCTTTTCTAATGACAAATTTTCCATTGAAATCTATCAAAAAATTTTCGACCTCTAGCTTAAAACAAATTGAAAATAAATATTTAAAATTGTTGTAAAGAACATAAAATTAAATTTTAATTCAAAATTAACAGCTTATAAATTTAATTTGCCAGAGATGTCATTTGTCAACATTCTCATGGGTCTCTATCTTTTAAGGAATTGGTA